CCCGAGTTCCTCACAGCTCTCTACTAGACCTATTGGCCCTAGATTACTTAACGTACTACCCTACAGACATTAAAACCGCTACCGAAATATCGACTGTAAAATTAAACACCTCCATGGCCACTGACTTAATTTGCTTCCTGTATAAAGAAAAGTACTCTCGTATAGCCTTTTTGATAGTGGTAGAGAGCCGGGCAGACATTGAGTACGTGCATTCACACGCAGTGGTCCACATGCGTAGAACCGATAGTCTTGAAACTTGGAGGCACTATAGTCCATTTGTCGTGACAGATCAGATCAGCTTAATAAACTCAGCAACCTACAGCTTGTATGTATCGAAACAGCTAAAGAAAGTAGAGGGCGGCATCGTCGGGTCCTTGTTTGGTTCCGAGAATGCAAGGTCCCACATATCCTACTTAGCAGCTTGTGACCTGGCATCTCTACACTTAACCTACGAAAACTCAGCATCTGACATAATGACTAACAAATACGTTCCTAGCGCGTTGAGTTCCGTGCTGTCCTTCGACGCGTCTGAGGTGCCCGGTGTGTTGGCAGGGGACTTGGACACTTCGGCGGGCGTCGCGGCACGCGACCCTCTACTGACGGACATAATAGAAAATTTATATTTAATCAACGAGGCACGGCACGCACTGGAGCCTCCTCGGTCACCTGCTTTAGAACGCATCTCGAATGCGGCGGCTGTCTGTTTGACTGTGGCCTTTGCCTTCAGTTGGAGAGAGAAACAAATCATAGACACGTATTTGGGAGTGGGCGGTCTATCATCTATGCTCAGTTGTCAAAACAACATTTAAAAATTTCACATTCTGTTTTCGGAAAAGTTTAATTCGTATTTTGTCTTCTGCCCAAAGTATATTATAAGGAGGACCATAACCTCGTCGTCGGAGTCGTGAAATAGATCCGAAAAGTTTATATCCTGAAGGATATTGGCGGAAATAGCGCGGAGACGCTAACCGAACTGTAATTGGGGTTGATAAAGTTTCACAGGTATCTTGGGTAACTCCTTATTACTCCTACTTATTTTGCAAGTTGTGGCTATGAAAAATAACCTTTCTGTTTGATCTTCTGTGTCGTAGTTGGACGGTTCTGGAATCTCGCAAGGCGGGGCAGAACTTGTGATAGGAAACAAAATACTTACGGATAGTTTTATATTTCGAACGGTAAGCTATCATCTGACCTGATATTTATTCTCCTAGCACTAATTGAACTGCATTATGCATGATATGGTGATTATTGTCATCAAACATACCTAATCATTCTTGTCAAGTTAGTGAACATGAAATTGATTTCCTTCAACCCGGTGGGATGGGCCCCAGTCATGTAGTGATTCAAAAATGTAAACATTAACCGTGAATATCCCTCACTCTACCCGCTAGTGATGCAGATGTAGTGATCTATGTAGTTTCCCCATGTCTGATCATTTTTTTTCAATGTGAAATTCTGGCTTATACGTTCTCCTCGAGAAATACTGGAGGAATAACAAGGAGATTCTCTCTCTGTACACGGACCAGAGGGGACGCGTGAGATCACTACAATGAAGGTTGCAAGTCGCTCTCCGGTTTCATGTAACTGCGGACAGATCATACACTGCTAAACCTATCCTAAACAAGGTATTTTTATAACTAACACCGGGTGGGCGTGGAGCAGGTACCACAAGGCGAGGTTGGATCCCAACCTACCCCTTCCTATATATATATATATCTATATAACTGGTTGTCTCATTAAGAACTATAATTAACTAAGTTTATCACCAATATCGATCAAACGAGCCGTAGAACCTCTGAAATCCACTAAATAGCTTATTAAGTCTAGTCTTTGTGGTCTCTCAATGGACAGTCCATTGCAGAGTGGATAAAATACATTAGATATAGTTTAAGAACTTATGTAAGTACATGGTAGATGGTTATGAATGTCTGATGTCTATATAATTCTAAGATTCATGCTAACTTGTGATTTATACAGGGTGGGCCAAGAATTCGTTAACATTTAAATGTAACTTACCGCGCAAACTATTGCCGCGCGGGGCGCGGGCGCGGGCGGGGGCACTAGCTCGCTTCTTGGAAATTTAGTCGCAAAGGACTGCTTCACGGGGCGCAACGCGCTTACTGCGTGAAACAGTTTTATTTAAACAACTTTTCGCTCATTACTGTGAGACGCTTATTTCGCGTTGAATATGGTTTACACGACTTAAGTCAGTGTCCAAGTGCTCCTTTAATAAAGAAATGGGTGAAGAAGTTCGAAGAGACGGGATCTACACTAAATGTGAAACAAACCGGCGGCCCGCGGACTTCTCGGAGCGAAGAGAACGTGCAGCAAGTTTCCGCTTCTGTTCGACGTGATCCAAATTTATCGACACGCAAACGTTCGGCTGAATTAGGATTATCCCGCACATCATTACGCCGTATTTTGAAATTAGATTTGAAATTACATCCATATAAGATCCAGCTAGTGCAAGAACTAAACCCTAATGATTTAAATTTGCGTAAGTCATATGCCGAAACAATGTTAACTCGATTCAGTAATTTTCACAACATCTTATTCTCTGACGAAGCCCATTTCCACCTAAATGGACATGTAAACAAACAGAATTGCAGGTATTGGAGCAGCGAAAATCTTAAAGCTAAACATGAGAGGCCACTTCACTCTTCACTCATTTCAGCAAAAGGAATCATCGGACCTTACTTTTTTGAAGATTCTCGAGGCCGTTCAGTTACTGTTAATTCAGCCGAGTATGTGAAAATGTTACGGGAGTTCTTAGCACCGATGCTACTGGAATTTGCTGGCTATAATCGTAACACATGGTTTCAACAAGATGGAGCCACGTGTCACCACACATCGAACGAGTCCTTGCCGGTGGTCAAAGACATGTTTCCGGAAAAGCTGATATCCAGACGGGGTGACATCCCATGGCCACCCAGAAGTCCAGATCTATCACCAGCAGACTTCTTTTTATGGGGTTATTTAAAGAGTCGTGTCTACATTGATAAACCGAATACACTGCGTCAACTTAAAGAAAAAATCATCGAAGAGATGTCGGCGATCTCGCGGCCTCTTTGCAGAAGAGTATTCGAAAACTTTAGGACTCGCTTAGATGAGTGCAAAAACCGAAACGGTGGTCATTTAGACGAAATAATTTTTAAAAAATAAATTACAACTAATTAGCTTTCTCGTAAATAAACGATTTCTAAAATATGTTAAATAATTTTTTTTTACGATTTTTTCAAATGTTAACTAATTCATGGCCCACCCTGTATAAACTCTCACTTTAAAACTACTATATTCAGCTTAGTTAGGAGAGTGAAAGTTGGTAAAATATAGTATAACATTTCTTGCCCACTGGGGGAATTTGTACAAACTCTAACATTAAAATTACTGTATTCAGCCTCGTTGTGACATGTAGGGTTAGTAAAATATAGTTACAACGTTTCGTGTCAACTTGGCAATTTATATAAACTAGAACTTAGAACTACTGTATTAATCTTCTTTAGAATCCATAGTTGGTAAAATATAATTATAGCATTATTTGAATTTTTTGGTTTTCTTTCATTGCTTCCCCTGCGCTCTGAGGTAGAGTAAAAGAGGGCAGTGGAGGAGAAATTAACATCACACTCTTCGAATTCGATTGGGTTCCGTTTTCACACACCCCAATTAGCCCTGTTGCAAGAAGGGATTCGTTTGTTGGACAATGTGGTTCTACACGTGGTCCTTTCGCAAGTGCTTACGAAGCTTAGTTATATACTTTTTAAAGAAACAAATGCAATTGAACACATAGATTATAGAAAGAACCTCGTTAGTGATATCTTGAATAGACATCGAGTCTCGAGGGAGATGACAATGTCTATATCAATCCGTGGAAATAAAAAGTTTTCAGCGGAAACGGTTTCGCATTTGCCATCACAGCTCCCAATCGGGAATAATATCCATGACCGGAAGAGGCGCAAATGCGTAGTATGCAAAACAAAAAAGACCCACATTATGAGCAAAGCATGCAATGGTAGCTTTATGCTATAATTTTACAGACACCATAGTTAACGTAGATTTCCTCACCAAACTTTATTGTCCATTTGTCTCACCGGCACCATATGTAGCATATAGACGCTTGCGATACCAAAACTAACTTATCAAACTGGGGTTCATTTGCACCACGGGCGCCATAGCATAAAGACGCTTGCGATACCAAAACTTACTTACCAATCTAGGGTTCATTTGCATTTGCGATAACATAACTTACTTCTTTAGGGTCAGTCAGTCATTTTTACCCCCATTTTTTAGGTATTTTGTTATAGTATTTTGTTATGGTATTCCTCGTCCTCATAAAATTAAGAGCGCCCTTGGTAAAATTATTCATGATCAATATTTTGAAAACATAGAATCATGAGAGTTAGTATTTTTAAAGAATAAAAGAAAATATTCCGCTTCAAAAAAATCCGTGCAGAGTAACGGTCGTTTCCATTGAAAATACACGAATCAAATATTCAAAATGGACGCGTCATTTGATGTACTATTGTAGATGCCGTGTGACTCGACACGACTTTTTTGTATTTACTTTTCTTTCAAGTCATCTATTAATTTTTATTATGTTTACTATTAATGTCCCCACTGCTGGGGCACAGGCCTTCCCTGTGGATGGAATAGGGAGATTGGGCCATGACCTACCACGTGGGTCCAGTGCGGATTGGTGGGTGCTAACGTCTGCAGTTGCAGCCGGGACCAACGGCTTAACGTGCCTTCCGAAGCAGGAGCTCGAGATACTAAATTTTTGGTCACCCATCCAATGGCCGACCACTGGGAAAGTTACTTAACTTCAATGATCGCAGCCGAACGCTCTAACCACTTGCGCCATCGAGCTCCTGAAGTAACTACGGCAAAAGATGTAAAATAAAATCTAAATCTCTTGCTTTTATTTAAAAGTTTCAATTTTTTCTTTATTTATGCATGTATTTGTGTTTGTTTTATGGTAAAAAGAAATGACAATATTATTCGCGATGCGGAGCGTGTGCGTGGTCGCGGACGAGTGCGTACTCGTGGTGGCAGAGCACGTGGAACACGAGGTGGGGCACGTGGAACACGAGGTGGGGCGCGTGGGGAAGAGACGCTTCAAGAGGTGGCGCCACAAGCCGGCCACAAGCCATTGAAGAGTAATTTTTTATGCTTAGCTCTTGTTTTGTTTTTATTTGTAGAAAGTAGTTCAATAAATAAAAAGTGTATTGTTTTCAGCTTACGACTTGGCTTTGTTGAGGAGCTCCGCACCGGAAAGCCCCTCGAAACCCCTTTACATGCTAAAAGGCGGCGAACCCTGACCTTTGATGACCGCTCCTCATCGTAAGTAATTTATTAGTATTTTTTATATTTTAAACATTAATCTGCCTGGTATGTAATTTTAACGTCTTTTTTTTAAATGATCTTTAGATGTATAAAGTATTAGTAATTTCAGTCATTTTACCATGTCATACTGTTTCTTTTTTTTTTGCAGATCGTCGACTTGGTCTTCCATTACCGAAAGCTTAGCTGCTCCGCAACCACAGCCGTAAGTAGCATAATCCCTGTGATTTACAACTTCATATATTTGCAATTATATTATGTTTTTATTTGTGCTCGAGGTTATCTTTGATTGCGTCGAGCGGCTCAGCCGCTACGCAACCACAGCCGTCGAGCAGCTCAGCCGCTCCGCAACCACAGCCGCAAGTAGCACAATCGCTGTGATTTACAACTTCATATATTTGCAATTATATTATGTTTTTTATTTCTGCTCCAGGAGTACGTCTTCGTTCATATTCCCCACTCATTCCGGTGCAGGCTCGACGTGCTTTGTACCCTCTCCAGCATTGTAAGTTTGAATATTATTTATTCGTAACAGATCACAAAAGTATTCTTATGCATCAATTGGTGTGATGACGTTAATGCCTTTCAATTCATTTCTATTTATATAGATTTGTGGAGTACGGTAATACGCCTCGAACGTCTCGGCACAATGTACATCGTACATTGCGAGACGACGAAATTGAAGATTTCCTCAATTATGGTACGATATTAGTATTTTTTAATTGAATAAATGAATTAAGGGAGTGAATATGAATGTGGCATTGCTTGTTCTATCTGCAGGCAGTGAAGAGGAGGAGGATGAGGATCTATACGCCGACCTGCCCGTGCTGCCCATCCCACGCACACTCCGCATGCTGTTCGAGAGGGAGGAGGACTCTTCAATCGAGGGTGTAGCCGCAGGGAGGATGGATGCGGTTCCGGAGAGCGCGGTGGAGAGGCCGAACAGCCTCTTCGAATTCGATTGGGTTCCGTTTTCACACACCCCAATTAGCCCTGTTGCAAGAAGAGATTCGTTTGTTGGACAATGTGGTTCTACACGTGGTCCTTTCGCAAGTGCTTACGAAGCTTAGTTATATACTTTTTACAGAAACAAATGCAATTGAACACATAGATTATAGAAAGAACCTCGTTAGTGATATCTTGAATAGACATCGAGTCTCGAGGGAGATGACAATGTCTATATCAACCCGTGGAAATAAAAAGTTTTCAGCGGAAACGGTTTCGCATTTGCCATCACAGCTCCCAATCGGGAATAATATCCATAACCGGAAGAGGCGCAAATGCGTAGTATGCATAACAAAAAAGACCCACATTATGAGCAAAGCATGCAATGGTAGCTTTATGCTATAATTTTACAGACACCATAGTTAACGTAGATTTCCTCACCAAACTTTATTGTCCATTTGTCTCACCGGCACCATATGTAGCATATAGACACGAATCAGTGGTGATGCCACGAAAGTATCAAAAGGTGGTAAAGCCTTCGGCTTCCGTAAGATTTGATGGATATGACCATTTACCTAGTTTCGATGATATCAAGTCACCAAGAGCTTGTCAGATGGAAAATTGTATTAGTCGCACAAAGACTAGATGCATCAGATGCAACGTTTACCTCTGCATCGCGCGAAACCAAAACTGCTTCCAGGAGTATCACCAAAAAAAATCATTTTATTTTTGAAAGTTGATCTCGTTAGTTCCTACTTTGTTACATAAAAGATTATATTGTTAAATATACCTTTTATGTTTTTTGGACTTGGTTCCATAGTGATTTTTATGCCTGTAATGATACTAAGAAGACTGATTATAAATTTTAATTAAAATTAAACGCTTTTAATTATAAGTTTTGCAATTGATTATATTCATTATCATTAACGATATTGATTTGCACGATCATGCATTTGCGATTTATTCCTAAGCCGCACGAACGTGCAGTTAGTTTTCTACCATACTTACAATACAGGGATTTTTTCAAACATTTTTCTTGGAGTCTATGGCATACTAAAACAAAATATATCACACAAGATGTCAATCTTTAAAAAAAAATCGGTTGCAAAGGGTTAAGAAAGAACTGTAAACTATGTGGTGAATAAAGAACTGTCAAGCGTGAACAAGCATATCATTTCGAACCCCATGTCGACACGTAACAACTGGTGACAGAAATGACCGCACTCACTCTTGCGCGCAGTGGATGCTTTGCTGATATTGGAAAATGTACCAGCCGATCAACGAAGCTTGGAAACTCTCCTCAAGGCTTTGGAAGCTCGTTACGGTGATAAGCATCTGGAACACGTATATCGAGCGCATCTAAAGTCTTTTCTCTATTCATTAACTTTCTCACTTCTCTCCTTACCTGCCAGTACCACTTGTATGCTGATGACTTGCAGATCTACCGTCAGGCACCTGTTGATGAAGTAAGGAATGTAATTGCGAACTTGAATTATGGTAGGTTCACACGCGCGCGTTCAACTCTACATTCAACGTGCACATTCACATTCACGAGCGTGTAAACGGTACGCCCGAACCCGTGAACTCGCCTGTGAACGTGAATGCCGCGAATCGGGCAAGTGTTGGTTTTTTGGCAAAATTCAAAGGATGAATGTGCGGGCGCCCGGTGACTGTTTACACGCGCGCGGGCAGTCAGTCTCTCCCGCGCTTTCGCGGCGAGTGGATCTTCATTCAACGTTACTAAGAAAGTCGCTACGATCGGAGATTACAACATGGCGGGATGGTCAAACGAGACAATTTTGACGTTCCTGGAATATTACCAGGAAGAAGAAGTATTATGGAACCCCGGACATAAATTCCATAAGGACAAGAAAAAAATTCACGATGCTTGGACGAAAATTGGTAAATTACTAAATGTGTCAATCAAGGATTTGAAAACAAAAAAGGAGGCCCTAATGGGAACATTTAGGCGCCATCTGAAGAAAAAACAGTTTACTTTACTTTACGTACAGTTGCACCTTTTCAAAAGCTAAAAATAAAAAATCTAATTATTTTTTAATTATTTATTTTTATTTTACCTAGGCTTAGGCCAAGAGTTGTTTGGTTTCAAATCCGAAGGTCCCAGGTTTGATTCCCGTATGTGGTACAACATTTTAGTGATTAATCATATTTTTCAGGGAGTGACGAGATATATGAACCCATTTGGTTTGCATACCAGATAATGGAGTCCTTTCTGCTGCCTGTTTATACCAGTAGAGCTACACTCAACACAGAAGAGGTAAATAAATTAGTTTCTTATGTTTTAATCATTATATTTAAATAAAGATACTATTAGTATTAGTAACTTAGTAGGTACATATTATGTAGTTTGATAAAAATAGTTAGTTGTTTTTCCTAGCGGCACGGTACGCCGGAGGTCATGGGTTCGAGTCCCGCCTGTGTCATTTATTTTTCAGTTTTTTCTTTTCTACATGCGTTAAAACAAAAAAGTTATACATTTATATAATTTTAATTACGAGCCCTATGAAAATTCGTCCCTGATTTCTCTAGCGTTCAGAGGTGATCTTCGTGCTATGATTATTATTATTATATATATAGATTATCCTAGTAAACTTTTTTGAAGATCATTGGCAAATCTCTTATAGCGTTATATCCACCTGCGTTTGTTCGCCACGATCCAGGTCTTGTCAGATTGCCGTTATCATCGTATTCATCAAACGTTCCTGGAGGAGTATATCTTGCTGCGGAATTTTTACTGTTTCTGAGAAAGTTGTGTAGCAGTACACATGTCATTGTCAATTGTGATACAATATCTGGATCCAGATCAATTGGTCGTCGAAATATTCTAAATACTGCACTTAAGATTCCGAATGTGTTTTCCACCACAACTCGGGATCTGGACAGACATTTATTAAATATCCTTTTTTGTGAATCCGAATCATGATTGCCAGGGTATGGTTTGATTACATGTGTACTGAGTGCAAAAGCACCATCGCCTATGATGACATATGGCACATCAATATTTGACCCGGGAAGAGGACATGGTGTGGGTAGATAATTCGTTTCTACAGATTTTTTTTCATAACAATGAATTGTTGAATACACCACCATCACTTATTCTTCCTTGGCTTCCTATGTCGGCAAATATAAATTTATAATTGCTTTCCACTAGTGCCATTAGAACAATGCTAAAAGTCTTCTTATAGTTATAAAACTCGGTTCCACTGTGATAAGGGTTTTCCATTACGATATGCTTGCCGTCTATTGATCCGATACAGTGTGGAAATTTTCTTCTAAATCCTTTTTCGATATTTAACCAACCGTCCGCTGTTGTGGGCATCTGAAATAATAATAGCATATATTAGCATTAAATTAATTAAAATACCTTTTTTACAGACACCATCAACGTCATCAGAATCACATGATTCACAAATAACAAAGGAACCTTTTGGAGATGAAACAACACCGGAACTACATGAAGCTATCGACAACGAAAGAACTGATAGCGAAGTGATGGAAACATTACAATCGCCAAGGACTCCAACCTCACAGATGCAGTCTACTCAAGCAAAAAATAGCCGTCGTCGCTCAGTACCTAATACAGCCGAGCAGCAAATGGCTACAGCCTTCAGGCAATTGACTTATGTTTTAGGACAACGTCAATCACATACTACAATTAAAGAAGATGATGACTGCGATCTCTACGCCAAGCTTTTGGCTACAAAACTGCGAGAACTGTCCAAAGACGAACGTAAATTAATAATGTATGAAATAGATGGCATATTTGTTAATAGAATTCAGTGCAGGCTACCTAGACGTGAAACACCATCTCCACTATATTCAAACCCATATTCTAGACCACCGTCAGTATAGACTTCATGCAGATCACAAGCGAAGCGAAGCCGACCTTCAAGTACTTTAAGCTCATATTCCGAACCAATTTCAAACATTCATGCATCAAATCAACCTGTTGAACTCTCAGATCAACGCACATCTATTCAATGTGCAAACGACCTCTTAATGCAAACCCCATCCTTTCAATCTGCAAACGCACACTCAATCCAAACCCCATCTTTTCAGTCTGCAAACACACACTTAATCCAGTCCAATCTCCATATGTTCAATCCGCAAACACGTACTCAATCCAACCTGCACACACACAATCCGCAAACACGTACTCAATCCAACCTGCACATACACACTCCACAAATACGGACTCAATCCAGACTAAACCTAACATTATACAAATTGAATTAGGAAATTCATTTGAAACATTTGGATCTAATGAAACAAGTGAACCATGAGTGAACCTAATAATTAATTTTCATTGTTTTTGTTTGCCAAAAATTTTTTTGTCAGTGTCTGATTTTTGTCTTTGATATCTTTATTTTAGTTCAGTAATTTGTGGTGATTTGTGTTTATTTTGTCAATAAAAACCTTAAAAATATAACTAGCTTTACTTCATCTTTTAGAACTTCATTAGGAGCTCTAGAGACTTCCCGTATAATTCCTGATATAGATGCTTTGGAGACTTTAAACAGATAGTGTAGACTTCTGTAGCTATCACCAGATGCTAAAAATCTTAGCGTTATGATAAGACGAAATTATGCTGGAATAGCTTCTCTGAAATCTGAATCTTGCTTAGAAATTATCGGTGAAATTTTACTCAGCAAAATTTCAAAATCAGTAAAGGTCATTCGACAAAAATTATCGAACTCTCCAGACGGTTCATGCAAGAGCTGATCAAATTTTTCTTCCATGAACTCCCTGTAAACGAAAAACAAATTATGTATTTTAGGAGCCCTGGAAGTGTGAAATACACAGGGTGTCCCACGGCGATGCTTCATCGAGGGGAAGTACCTTAAAATATTGAAAATAGAGCAATTTACAATAAACAACTGCATTCACAGATTCTTTTTCATTCTTCGAATTTTAATATTTTGTTAAAATTTTAAATTATTTTTTATTTTTTTAATTAAAATCTGTGAATGCAGTTTAAATTGTTTTTAAAAATAAACTAAAATCATAAATAGGTAATTTTGTAAGCATTTTACACCACTGAATCACGATCGGAGAAAACACAGGTACTTACTTGGTACGATTTTTGTGAACTGTTATCAGCCACCACCTTCTTTGCAGTCTTTTTCTTTTTCGCCGTCGTTCATAATTTTATTTCTTTTTCCAATAAAAATAAGTTAAGCCAAAGGATATGGCAGCAACAACCCCGAGATCCTCGCTGCTCGCCATTCTGGCACTGACTGACACGACGGCGTGCTTGTGAACAGCTTGAATGTCCGCCGGCCCGGGACGGGCTGCATGCCGCGCAGCCCGCCAGGCAGCCCGCCAGGCAGTGACCGTAGCATTAGGGTTATCCACGAATGGAGTTATGCCCACGGCCTTTCAATTAATCCTTGTAAGACGCAGGCCATCATCATTGGTGGGTCAAAACAAACTGCTAAGCTGGATCCTTCACATCTGCCTCCGCTTTATCCCAGCTCTATTCCACTGACCTACAGCAATGTTGTCAAAAATCTTGGAGTTTTCTTTGACTCCACCCTTTCATGGTCAACTCATGTTTCTGAGGTCAGTAGGAAGATATTCGCTGCTGCGGGCTCGTTGCTCCGATGAAAAAACTTGCTACCGGTGAGGACCAAGGTTGAACTTGCGCAATCTCTCTTAATTCTGATTCTGGACTATGCAGACGTTTGTAACGTAGATCTCAATGAAAAACTACTTGATAAGCTGCAAAGATTCAAAATCTTTGCATTCGATTTATCTATGGCCTGCGTAAGTTCGACCATGTTTCTAAATTTAGGAGAAAGCTCAAGTGGCTTCCCATTAGGTTGCGTCGTAAAGAGCATCTCCTCTTACTACTTTATAAGGTGTTGTATGACCCTCGCACTCCCACTTACCTCAAGGAACGTTTCAATTTCTTGGTGTGGACCACAATCGGTGTTTTGCGCTCAAAATACTATAGTGTGTTAGAGATACCTCTCACCCGCTCTGAGTATTATATGGACTCTTTTACGATTAAAGCTGCACAACTTTGGAATAAGCTTCCGCCTGAGATCCGTCACGTTAAGTCAATTAACATTTTTAAAATTATTATACATGATTTCCTTTTACTTAAATCCTATTCTGCTGTATCTATAAATATATAATATTCCATAATATGTTTATTTGTGTAGGTATATATTTGTGTAGGTATATGTTATTTATTTGTTTATAACCTTTATATGTTCAAGAAAATATGTACATTTCTTTATTTTATCTTGCTGGCATACTGCAACTTCATCTTCGTTTAGCTTTCCTTTACCGCAAAGGCTGTCTGGAAGAGATCGCTTAAAGCGATAAGGCCGTCTTTGCCCACATTATGTTATTGTTTACTTATTTTTGTATACTTTTGTGTGTGCAATAAAGAATTTATTTATTTATCTATCTATCTAAAGGAACGCTCTCAAAAACCAGAAGGATTGCAGCAGTAGGCCACGAAGATTGAACAACTGATACGTCGCGCCTATGCGCCCAATCAGACATTCACAGAAAACATTGTGTCCAAGCTTTTGTGGATGGTATAAGAGAAGAGACCACGAAGTCAGAGCGACCGATCGTTTTGGGACATCATACGACCCTGGATGTCTCCTTAGTCCTGGAGTACGCCCTGAAGATTGGTGCGCAATGATTACAAGACGCACGGAGTATGAGAAGTAGATACCAGTCAAGCTTCGAGGTGGACCGATTTGCTATGGATGTGGAGAACGAGGACATATCAGAACTAACTGTCCGGTCCAGCGCAGAAACAGACCAAACTGTAAAAACTTAAACAGGTATCATCAGAAAATACACAGCGTGCTTGTAATCCCGGATCACAAAATCCATGGACCAAAAAAAAATATAAACAGCGACAAACAAATCAAGAAAATTTACCGTTTGAACAAGAGTTATTAACTTTGCTGTCTCACCAGACACCTGATCTTGACGATGATGACGTTTTTTTCTACCTTGGGTTCAATTTTAAGCAGTTTTGATATGGAACAAAAGTTAATGTTTAGGTCAAGAGTGCTGCGCGAGGCAACGGCAATTAAAAATATGCGCAATAGCCCTAGTAGCTCTGCATCTTAATACAGGTTACTTAACTTAAAAGAAGAAGACCCACACCATGTAAACTTTGATGTAGAAGAATAATCAAGATTTTCATTTTCACCGCGATATGATCCTTATGCTGCTGGCACATCGTAAGTATACAACTACATGTACAGTACGAAACTCCAAAAGGTTATCAAACAACAGGGTACCGATCAAACAATAATCATAATTAGATGTTTCTTAAGAAATATTATATGATGATTAACATATGTTTGTTAATTTCTTATATAGAGGTAAATATTACCTTATCTATTATGTTGATTGTAAGTTGGGTATTTTTGTGACTGATTTGAAAATGAACCTTATCAACAACCGACAAAGTGGTACCTTCTACTGAACTCAAGCACAAATAAATAAATACTCAATATCTTACCTATTTAGAGAAATGATGTTTTATTCTTACCTCAAAGTAACCATCACGCGTTCAATCGGTGGTATAGGCAGACGTCGTAAGCTGCAACAGACCAGTTTATTTCTTGTCTTTGACAGTAGTTCAACAAAACTTTGTTTCGTCAGCCCTCAAATTGCCGTATAATGTGACGAGTTCTCCTGCGACGGCTCTCTGCTCTATTAAAGGGTGAACATGTAGTCTCTTCCCTCGCATATTTTTTTTTTGTATAATAAAGGGCAATAACTAATAACACCAGCCACATTGTATGCATTGCGCGCGTCTGTAAACCGCGGCGGTCAGGTCGATACTAAAACGACATAGGCGGACGATCAGCGCGGATCACATACGCGCGGAGCAATCCGTACTAACTGCGCGCGTGACACTAAAACCAGCCTTATTTTCTATGATTAAACCGGAGATCAGTCGTAAGTTGAGTACGTAAAAAGTAAGAAATTTAGAAATTATTGGCACTATTGGGCGTAGTTTTTTTTTACTTGGAATAAATGTCTACTTGGCAAAACAAAGAAGTCGTATAAATTTATTTATTTTTTATCCATTGTCAAAACTTCTGCGATCATTTTTAGGCCTTCTCCAATGGACAGGAGTGCTTGTGTCGTCGCAGTCCTGTAGTCGCGCTCGCTTTCCAAAAGCCTGTCTACCATTGTAACCATTCTTTCAAACGTTTCTGTCTTGCGTCTCTCCAGGTCTGTCCGGAGCTCTTCTACTTTAATGAGACGCTCCGCGAGTAATTTTACCTGGGGACCTCGCAGCAACACGGTATCACGCTTGCGTCGCAAACGACGGCGAGAACCTGTAACAATCCGTCACAGTTAACTCAAAATTGCACTAGAAAACCTAAACATCAAGCCTCTATCTTCAATAAATTGCATTCTTTCATTTTATAATTTGCACACTGCACTGAATGTTTTCTGAGAGTATTCTCAGGACCACATTTTCTAGACTTTAGTATATACTATACGATCACTTACTTATACATGGACTTACTGAACAAGGCAAAAAAAAACAGTAACTTCCGTTTATGTGAAATTCGAAAATGGGATGTTCTGCCAGGACACATATTGCTTCAAAACCAGAAGGACTTCGAGAAAAGAAACGGCGTAAAGTTTCGTTGACGGCTGGAAAGGCTGCAGTCGCAATCTCAGCATTTAAATTTTTTTTTAGTGATATCTGATTTGAAAGAAGAAGAAAGCGTCACATCGAAAGCAATATTAGAGGGTGGTACCTACCTGTAAATTCGTCTGCATGGAAAAAATTGTTTCCATAACTTGTTCAGATTCATTTCCCGGACTCAAACTATATTCCAAATTTCATATAAATCGATTCTGCAGTTTAAGAGTGACGAGGATAAAGACGGACAGACAAACTTTTAGATTTATAATGTTAGGGGAAGTACCTATGACACTGGGAGTTGGTGACGGATGTGCTCCTTCAGGGGACGGTGACTCCAACCTTCTATTAGCAGACACCGTTGGCTCGTGGTTCGTGATCGGCCAAGATACAGCAGACTGATAGGATGGAAATGAACAGAATATTTAATGTAACAGTAACAAAAACCAATATAATTATTTTAATTACAAATCTAAAAACCACTTACCACGAGGTAACTAGGTTTTATGGCGTATGATGTCTCAGCAAGTGTTTGTTTCAGTGTCGTATCATTGGCTAGTTGCGGCTGTAAAATAAATAAAGTACATTAATTTTTAATTGGTAGTAATACCAAAATAATTACCCGTTTCGTGGCATCCAAATATCACGATCCCTGCATTCCGTATCAAAAAGAAAAAGCAATACAAGATAAATTATTCACCTTCTTTTATATTAATGTCCCCACTGCTGATGCAAAGGCCTTCCCTATGGATGGAATAGGGAGATTGGGCCATGACCCACCACGCGGGCCCAATGCGGATTGGTGGGTGCTAACGACTGCAGATGCAGCCGGGACCAACAGCTTAACGTGCCTTCCGAAGCATGGAGGAGCTTTAGATAGTAATTTTTGGTCACCCATCCAATGACCGACCACTGCGAAAGTTGCTTAACTTCAACGATCGCAGCCGAACGCGCTAACCACTTGCGCCTTCGAGCTCCTCACCTTCTTTTATAT